GCCTTCGCCTGTCACACCTGAAAGCCCTCAGTGACTCCATTTAGGGGCGGGTGCCTTCGCCTGTCACACCTGAAAGCCCTCAGTGACTCCGTTTAGGGGCGAGTGCCTTCGCCTGTGTAACGACTCTTCATAGGAACGTGTCCCCGTTCACGTGGCTCCAGTGGTTTCTGCCCCCCGTCTGCAGCAAGTGAGTGACTGAAGGGCTCTGCAGGGCTAGCAAACATTCCCCTGGGGACACAGAGAAGACGCTTTAGATCATACTCTCCTGGAAAATGCCTTGAAATCCTCTTTCAACACCTTTTCCTCCCAGTCCTTCTGTCCCAGCCCTTGATCAGGTTATTCACTCGTCAACCATGTCTTGTTGGCTGCCGTTTTCCATCTCGTGTCTGAACTATAAAATCACACCCTACATCACGTCTTAAGACTGGAGGGAGATCCAGCTCCCACTGCCGCACCTGGTCAGCCTCCCAGCATGGGGCTCAACACAGTTTAGGGCGGAAGTGGAAAGAACATGCTGTACCTTCCGGTTCTTTTTCCAGAATCTAAAGGCAACTGAATGATACCATCGTCTGGCCCAGAGCCTTCAGTCACCCCTACCACTCTTAGGGAAAGCACTAGGGAATCCCGAAGACCCCCACAGTGCCATCTCCCACCACTGCTCCTCCTGCCCACCGCCACCCTGCCCTCCCTGACCCACCCTGGTCTTCCGCTCATGCACATCTCTCAAGGTGCAGCAGGCACTGCCTCTGGGGACTCACCCAACCCTGTCCCCTCTGCTCCCCTCTCACAGGCCACCCCCCCGCCCACACGTTCATCCCATCTGCCTTCATCAATGTTCAATTACTAGTTCACCAGCTGCCCACAGACCTCTGACTCCACATCGTGGGTGTTTCTTCCCCTTCTCATCTCATGTCCCAAAAGCATTCAACAAACACTCACTCAGGGAACAGTCTCCGCTGCTTTTCATGACCCTTCCCTAATGATGTCACCAGATTCCTCCTAGACCCACTGCCAAAGCCACTGTATTTCTTTATTAATTTTTTTTTTTTTGAGGCAGAGTCTTCCTCTGTCACCCAGGCTGGAGTGCAGTAGCATGATCTCGGCTCACTGCAACCACCACCTCCCAAGTTGAAGCGATTCTCCTGCCTCAGCCTCCTAAGTAGCTGGGACTACAGGCATGCACCCCCGCACCTGGCTAATTTTTGTATTTTTAGTAGAAACGGGGCTTCACCATGTTGGCCAGGCTAGTCTCGAACTTCTGACCTCAGATGATCTGCCCACCTCAGCCTCCCAAAGTGTTGGAATTACACACGTGAGCCACCGCGCCCGGCCTAGCCCCTGTATTTCTGACATGTACTTTTTGGTGTTTGGGTCCAGGGAAATAATCACTTAGGAAGAGACAACTGACAATGTCTTCTAAACTTTTCTTTTTCTCTCCAGAGACTGTGTTGCTGGATGTCATTGTCAAGGTGGCAGAAGGAATTTGTTAAACTTCAAAGGAACGCCTGTTTGTCATTTAAAACAGGAAGATGGCACCTCCTGTGTGGGAGGAGTGAGGTTTGATCCTGCAGAACATAAACTTAGCTGACATTTTTGAGAGCTTCTTGTGCTCCGCTCTGTCCTGGAGACTGTCTCGGCAGGCACTGCTATTAGTCACCGGGTTTGGCTAAGGTGGCTGGCCTGCTGGAGGTCAGTCAGCAGAGGGCAGAGCTGAAATTGAAGGTGAGGTCGTTTTTGTGAGGCCGCCGTCTTTAATCATTGTGCTAGAGACAGCACAGAGAGTGCAGAGGGAACAGAATCGCAAAGCCTGGGTGCCTTAGAGAGGTTATCGGAGCCAGGACCTAGCACGCTTGTTCTGGCTGTAATGCCTTAACTCAGCTCTAAAATACCCCACAGGAAGCTTGGACTGCAAGGCTCTGGGGATGTTCATTCTCAGCCCCGGCCCTTCCCATGCCTCGAGGAAAAGCAGTTTTAGGGACCACTAGTGTCCCAGGAATCATGGTGTTAAAGAGTTAACCTTTCAAAGCAAGATGGTTTTAGCCAAAAATTTTCATAGGGACAGAGGACGGCATACACCAGTGACAGACTCAATACTCTCAATCAAGACAGCCGGAGGGTCTACATCCCCTTCCACCGCAGACCCCGAAACACAGGCCACCAATCTCCAATCCCTGCCATTTCCAAGGAAGAAAGGACAAAGTGAGCTGGGGTTAAGGAAAGCACAGGGCGTTGAGTTCCTAGTCCCAGTTCAAACAGCTATTTGTGTGAGGCTGGGCAAGTCACTGGGGTGGGCCTCAGCCCCCTCATCTGATTTTACCTGAGGCGCCACCAACTCTGGGAAGTCCTCCATGATTGTCCAAGGCTGGATCCCTCCCTGTGTGGCCCTTATCTATTTATCTACCTAATTCCCTTTCTAAGAATGAGCTCCTTCCAGCTAAAAGGTGCTTTTTCACGACTGCACCCCCTGTGTCTGGCGGAGGGGCCCGCACCTGACAGATGCCTGTCTTAGTGGCTGGGGCTGCCACATGGAGCACCACAGCCTGGGGCGCTTGGACACAGACCTGCATTTCCTCACTGTTCTGGAGGCTGCACGTCCCAGATCGAGGTGGGCAGGGCTGGTTTCTCCTGCGGCCTCTCTCTTTGGCTTGCAGATGGCTGTTTTCTCCCTGTGCCCCAGACGGCCACCCCCTGACTGTGTGTGCATCCTAACCTCATCTTCTTATATGGACACCAGTCAGAATGGCTTAAGGTTCACCGTCATGGCCTCATTTTAACTCCATTAGCTCTTTACAGGCCCTATCTCCAAATAACATGACAGGCTGAGGGGCGGGGGTTAGGGTAAATTTGAAGACTCTTAATTCAGACCACAACAGGGTCTCACATGTTTTGGGTAAATGTACTGAATCTCAGCCTGCAGTCCAGTGGGGTCACATCGATGTGAAATCTGAATTTCAGCTGTGGCTTGGCCTCAGCCAGTTGGCTTTGGCTCGCCTCTGCCAGTTATTTCCAGGAGTCTGGAAGAATCTCAGGAGAGCTCAGGGAACCTGGGAGCAAACACCTACTGCTGGCCCCCACCACTGCCGCTCCTGCTCCTCCTGACAGCAGGGTCCCCGTCTCCCCCAGTCACAGATACTCAAATGAGCCCCTATCCCTGTGGCCAACACCCTGCCTCCTGAGCCCAAGGCTCTTTGGCGGAGGCCCCAGTACATACCAAGACCATTTTCAAAATGACTCCTTCATAATTTCTCTTTACGGCCAGACACCAAAGTCCCCCAGACCTGACTCTGGAACAAATATTCTTATATTTTCTACTTGAATTAACCTTTAAAAAAGAAATGTTTGGAACCTGATGCCATAGATGAGCTCTGAGCTTCTGTATGTTTGGAAATTCTGAATCTGATTGAATAGCATGAACTTGTCTTTTCCACAAAGGATTTGAGGCACTGTTTTTTTTTTCTTTTAAAAGACTAAGCATATGCCCCTCTCCAGATAGCACCCCGGGCTTGGCAATGAGGATGCTGGCGGGGGTTTCATGTGGTCACCCAGGAGCCAGAGAACCAACAAGGTTGACCAAGGAACAGGGGGCATGCTGAAGTATGGCCGGGACTACAGAATATTGTAATTCCAAGTGGATGGTAATTTCTTGAGCATGAGGATGTTTGAAAAATACAACAGAAGTTAATATTGTACTGTAGTGCCTGCTTATCCACAGGGGAGATGTTCCAAGACCCACAGTGGCTGCTTGAAACCTTGGGTAGTAGTGAACCCTATATAGGTTTTCTCCTGCACATACACACCTATGATAAGCTTAATTTATAAAGTAGGCACAGTAAGAGATTAACAGCAGTAACTAATAATAAAATAGGACAATCGTAACCATATACTGTAATGAAAGTTATGGGAACGTGGTCTCTGTCACAAAACACCTTATCGTGCTCACCTATTTTCTCACTGCGGTTGACCACAGACAACTGCAATCACAGAGCAGCACCACAGGCTGGGCGTGGTGGCTCACGCCTGTAATCCCAGCACTTTCGGAGGCCGAGCTGGGAGGATCATTTGAGGTCAGGGGTTCCACAACAGCCTGGCCAAACCCCATCTCTACTAAAAATACAAAAATTAGTTGGGTGTGGTGGTTCGCACCTGTAATCCCAGCTACCCGGGAGGGTGAGGCAGGAGAATCACTTGAACCCAGGAGACGGAGGTTGCAGTGAGCCAAGATCATGCCACTGCACTCTAGCCTGGGCAACAGAGCGAGACTCTGTCTCAAAAAAAAAAAAAAAAAAAGAAAGCAACACCACAGATGGGGAACTGTATGGTAATTACCAAAATGTGCAGGAGGAAAACATATCCTCACTTTAACCCCGATGGATTAATTTCACCAAGACTATCTTTATCTTAAAGATAGTTCAAAATAACATGTTTGGAAAAACAGCTACACTATTAATATTAATAAAAAGATATTAACTGGCGAATTCTTGGCTATTTTCATTTACCACAGAAAGAAAAGGGGGTAAATAGAGTTGGAAAAAGATTAAGCTGCACAGCTTCATCAGGTCCTTCAAAATAAAGAACAGCTTCAACATGAGGCGAAAAGCATCTGCCACGATCTTCTAAAATTACTGGGAACATAATTTACCAGCAGCGTTGGTGCTGAGACATAACACACTCTCTGTATAGTAACCCATTGCCCAGAATATGTGGTCAGTGACTTCATCAATGCATTGCTAGTGGAGGAAGGCAGGATCAGAGATGTCGCTGCCCAAAAAGCAACAATAGCAAAGAGCAGCAGCACAGAGTGCCGGAGCCTCCCGCCACACTCTTCGAAGCGCTGCGGCCGAGAGGACAGAGGGAAGAGGGTGGTGTGCACCCACAAAGGACAGACCCTGAATCAGTGCCACCCACCCCACTGTGCCTCCAACCAGAATGGCAGATGCCCTCTCCCCACCCCATGCTGCCAGTCTGGAGCGAGGCTGATTGAGAAGAAAAGTCGTAAGTTAGAGGGAAAAAGTTTAAGCGAGCCCATGAGTGCAGAAGCCCTGACTGCCACCAAGGATCTCGGCAGAGGCAGGAGAGCCACGGGAGGGGCCTCTTCCGCTGTCTCCCCTGTGGGCGGGAAGGAAAGGGGATGTGACTGTCACCAAATTCATGCTCCCACCAGCCCTCCAACTACCAGGCCTAACAGCCAAATCCGTGGACATTTCGTCTGTCCTGACTGGAGGTTGAAGGGTGTGAGGACAGAAGTCAGGAAATTTCACTGGGAGTACATAGCTAACTGAGAATGCTAAATAACAGCCCTCTCACCCCAGAGACCCAGAATTTCATGAATTAGATCAATAAATAACAATGTAGATCTCCTTCCAGGGTAATGCCTAAAATGCTATGAGGCACTAACAGACCAACAGCATCAGCAACAAGGTAAAGACAGAAATTCCCGGCTGTCCATCCTGGGCTGTCCATCCTGTCCATCCATTTTTTTTTTTTTTTTTTTTTTAATTGCTTTCTTCTTTTATTGGGAGCAGACACAGGGTGGTGGGAGGCAGTGCGACACCTCCTGGTAAGAACCAGGATAACAGCGGTCAGAGTCAGGAACGCCACCACAGCCAGGCCTGTGCCCAGCAGCAGCAAGGAGATGTCAGCCGGCAAGGCCCACTGCTCCATTTCGTGGTCACCAGTCGTGTCCAGGAAGATCAGCGGCCCCACAGTGATGTCCACTTCTTCTGTCACATGCCTGCAGTTACGGGTGGATGAACTGGACCCCAGGCTCACGACGTGGGGCTGCCTCCAGACATGGCTTGGAGTGCCACAGTCACCCTTGCTACAGCACTGGCAGATGTCAGCCAGGCCTTCCACTGGGAACCAGCTGTTGGAAGGCTTGCTGACGGAACAGGCCTACCACGAGCAGAAAAGACAGAAACGCCTGGCTGCCCTTCCTATCAGAACCCCAGGCCAGGAGAGCAGGCAGAAGAAGGAGCGCAGTCTGAAAGCGGCTCAGAGGCCTGCTCTTTCAGAGAAATCCAAAGGTCCACACAACGCTGCCTAATTTAAGCAAAGGTAAGAGCGAAATAAATGTCCAGGCACACACTGCAGGCGAACGCTAAAGAAACGGCAGACCACGGCCTGTGAAGACAGACACGGATTTCCTTCTGCAGCAAAATAGATAACTGAATCCATGCAAGAAAGTTCTCCAAAATGTTGTGTAAGAACATTTAAAATCAATAAGAAATTGATTTTAATAAAAAAAAAGAGCTAAAAGGTAGAAAAACAAAATGAAAAGTAAATTGTAGAGCTTTGGAAACAAATTGAAGAGCAAAAACTCATTTCAGAACAGGAAAAAAAAAAAACAAAACCATCCAAACTGTAAACAGCAGGAAACAGAATAGACGATGCCAAAAATAACAAAGCTACCATCATAGAGGAAGAATTGCAGATCTCCACTGGGAATAAGAGGCATAAAACACTTCGTTGCATATTCAAGCCAGAATGAGGAAAAAGAAGGAAAATTCATTTTGCATAAATAAATATACCATGTATGTGATGGCAGGAAATTAATTTCAGAAAGTAAATGTTATAACTCGTGACTTTCTAAAAATGACAAAGATAATTACACTATGAAAAGTGAGGAAAAGGGAAGATTACCATGAAAGTGAATGAATTGCCCACCCTATTAAACATCTTTCAGCTTTTCCCAATAGCAGTCAATAGATACTCTTCTGAATTGATAAATATTAAAGCATATCACAGAGTGTTGTATAAGGAACCTACGGAAAACCTAAAAACTAAAAGATAACTAATAATATATTGGGGTTTGAAGTGAGAAGTGGAGAATTAATAGAAACTGTCAGGTTGATAAATCCTGAACTATAGGTTCAATTATATGATGTAAAATTATATAGGTAACCACTTGAACACATAAAAGCAGTAAATCTTTCATTTTAACAAAAGGATTTCATATATATCAGAGGAAGGGGGGAAAAACCCAAAAAAGAATGCAAAAGAAATATTAATTACAGGCATAAAAAGATATTAAACCAAGTATATCAGCAATATGTATTAAAAATATAAGTGCAGATCCAAGATAAATAAACCTAAAACAAGTTGCCTTAAAAAGATTAAACACACAATTTTGAGTATAAAATAATAAGAAATACAGATTGGTCTGTGTCTCTAGAGCTCCTAATACCCTTGTAATTTCCTGAGTGTTGGGATACCAGGATCATCTTTTGTCCTAATATTTTTTGGGAGCATCTTTGGGTTCCTGGTGTGGAGCTTCCAATCCCTTGAAATTTTCTGGGTGACAGGAGCATCTTTTGTTCTAATGAACAATTCTTGGTGGGATCCTAGATGGGAGCTGGCTACCAGAAAGACCGAGCCATGATTAGAAGCTTGGAACTTTCAGCCCCATACCCCATCCTCCAGGGAGGAAAGAGGAGCTGGAGATTGAATCAATAATCAATCATGCCTACATGATGAAGCCTCCTTAAAAACTCCTAAGCACAGGTGCAGGAGCTCGAGGGTTGGAGAACGTGGTGGTGCTCCTGGAGAAGTCATGGAAGCTCTATGCCCACCCCCACTATGCCTTTCCTTATGCATTGCTCCCATTTTATAAGAAGCTGTATTCTCATAAGAATATTCTTTATAAGAAGTGGGTAAGCATAGCAAAGTGTTCCCCTGGGTATTCTTTATAAGAAATGGGTAAACATAGCAGTGTTCCCCTGGATTCTCTGAGCTGTTCTACCAAATGACTGGACCTAAGAAGGGAGTTATGGGAACCCCCAATTTGTAGCCAAGTTGGACAGAAGCTGTGGGTGACCTGGAGACCCACCACTTAAAACTGGCATCTGGAGTGGGGCAGTCCTGGGAATTAAGCCCCTTCCCTGTGGGGCTAGCACTAACTCCAGTTAATGTCAGAGTTGAGCTGAACTGTAGGACGCCCAGCTGGTGCTGGAGAATGGGTTGGTGTGGGGAAAACCCCACACACGTGGAGGCGGGAGGAGTTCTGTGAGTGTTAAGAATAAACGAGGGAGGCATCTCAGCAAAAGAAATAAGTGGGGCTGATTTTAAAAGCAGACAAGTGTGAATTCAAGGTAAATACTGAAAATAGAATGAAAATCTTGTATTCATTGTTAACATCCTACAGTAAAGGGAAGGATGATTGAAGGAGGAATGTGGCTGACAGGGAGCGTGGCCCCGCCAGGCCAGTGAGCACGGCTGGGAGTGGAGCTCCCAGACACCCGCCCAGGTCCTTCTCAGAGAGGGACCCATTCACAGGCACTGAACATACAAACCCCTCAGAAACACCTCAGCGCATTAAAAATGTTAGAAAAAGTACCAAAGGCATTGTGCTTAAAGCATACAGTGATATAACTAGAAATTAATTTTTAAGTTAAAAAATGTGGAAACTTAAAAACACTCAACACAGCTCAGCTGAGGCTGGTCTGAGTGCAGTGGGGTGTACAAGGAATTGATGACAGCCTGTTACAGGTTTCTTTGCTCCTTTTCTATTTCCACTGCTGCTTCACTCTTCTAGCCTTTATTTAAAAAGTCTATTTGAAGAAGGTACAAAAATTGACCTTATAGAATATCCAGAAAATACCAATAAAAACATTGCATTTAAGACATATGGACTGCTGGTAAAGCTTTGATGAGAATAAAATGCAGAGCTGAAAATACGTCCCTGATTAAATTAGAAAGGAATAATTGGAAACACATGGATTCGGCATCTACTAACTAACTTAGAAAAACAACAACAAAATAAAAGTAGACGAGAACCTGTAACATGGATGACTCTTGAGGACATCATGCTAAGCGAAATAAGCCAGTCACAAAAGGACAAATACTGTATGAGTCCACTTGTATCAGGTACCTAGTCAGATTTATAAAGACCAAAAGAAGGCTGGGCACAGTGCCTCATGCCTGTAATGCCAGCACTTTGGGAGGCCGAGGCAGGCAGATCACTTGAGGCCAGGAGTTCGAGACCGGCCTGGCCCACATGGTGAAACCCTGTCTCTACTAAAAATACAAAAATTAGCTGGGCTTGGTGGCACGTGCCTGTAATCCCAGCAACTCTGGAGGCTGAGGCAAAAGAATCGCTTGAACCCAGGATGCAGAGGTTGTAGTGAGCAGAGGTTGCACCACTGCACTCCAGCCTGGGTGACAGAATGAGACTGTCCCAAAAAAACAAAAATAAAAGGACCAAAAGGAGAATGGAATGGTGGTTGCCAGGGAGTTGGGGAAGGTGAATGCGATTGGGAAGCTGGTGTTAGGGGTTTAATCTGGGAAGATGAAAAGCATTCTGGGGATGTGTGGCTGTGAGGATTACACACATGTGAATGTATTTAATGCCACTGGTGGTACATTTAAAATTGGTTAAAATGGTAAATTTCACGTTATGTATATTTTGCCAAAATTTAAAAATATACAATCATTTTTAAAAATAGAATGAAAATATTAAAAATAAAAGCAGAAATTTAAGAATTACAAAACATAATTTGTTAATGGGAAGTATTAATTAATTAAACTCACAGAACTCTAACACAGCAGCAGAAGAAATGGCAAGAAGGCTATTGGAAGAAAAAAGGAAATTTAGAAAGCCGTGCAAAATGTGACATGTGACCATGGAGAGAAGACAAGCATGTGACCTGCAGCACTGCAGAAAGGCTGCCTTCTGAAGCCCGCTGTGTGCAGACACGGGAGGTGTCTGACCACAAAGAGTTTCAGAAAGACAGAATCTGTGAGCCCCATCCCCAGGGGCCATGACTTTGGGACGTCTTCCCCAACTCAGGACAAGCTACTGCATTAGAAGGTCAAACGCATATGGAGACGAAGTAAACAGTAATTAGAAAAGGAGCCATGGGGCCGGGCACGGGGGCTCACGCCTGTAATCCCAGCACTTTGGGAGGCTGAGGTGGGCAGATCACGAGGTCAGGAGATCGAGACAAGTCTGGCCAACTTGGTGAAACCCCGTATCTACTGAAAATACAAAAATTACCTGGGTGTGGTGGCAGGCGCCTGTAATCCCAGCTACTCGGAGGCTGAGGCAGGAGAATCGCTTGAACCTGGGAGGTGGAGTTTGCAGTGAGCCGAGATTGAACCGCTGCACTTCAGCCTAGCAACAGAGCAAGACTCCGTCTCAAAAGAAAGAAAAGGAGCCATCCATGGTGAGGTTAGAAACATTTTGATGGACAGAAGTTCTAGGGAGGCTGGGAAGGTTTTGTGCCACAAAAAAAGAAAGAATGAGAAAAAGTTAAATTATGCAAGAGTTACTTCCTGAGGTGTGCACCTTCAGAGGGCTCGGCTTAAAGCTTCTGGCGAGTGCAATGAGCAGCTACATCTAACCCACCTGTGCTGTCTCAACTAGTTTGCTCCACAAGCTCCCCGGGCCTGGGGGAAAGGCTGAGCCATGTCCTGGGCTGGAGATGGTCCTGCATTGGTTGTGGCTTGTGCTACACTGCCTCCTGCTGTCACCTGGGAGGGCTGGGTCAGCACAGGGACCCCCAGGACCCTGCAGACAGGTCCCCAAATTACTAAGTCTAAGGGTCTGATATAAACCAATAAAACTCATGGCAAGCTAAATAAATAAGCACAGGAGAAGGGAGAAATGCACACAATTACAAATGGAAAAGGAGAAGTAACGACAAATACAGAGGAAATAAAACACCTGACGTGCCTATACTGCAAAACTACACAACCATGTTGAAATGCGGATGGAATTAATTTTATTTTTAAAAATGTAATTAAAATGGTCTCCAGAAGAGCTCGAGGCCCTAATCTGCCTGATGAGAGAAATCCAAAATATACCACAGCAGGCCCAGACAGCCCCAGCTCGTTCTTTTACACTTAAATAGAAAATAATTCAAAACCAATAGATGGTTATGGAATATAGAGGTTTCTTTTCTTAAGTCAGCATCAATTTAAATCAAATGTGGACAAAAAAGCACACAAAAGCAAGCTGTAGAATGATTAATCTTAATTATAAATATTGATAACCAAAGTCATGATACTAAGTAAAGAACATCTCAGGAATATACTAATGATGTGGTCTTAAGGATTCTATTAATATAATTAAACATACTACTAGAGAAAAGGAAAAGACCTTCTGATAATCCCTCTGGATACTGAGAAGTTTCTGATAAAAATCTAACATCTGTATTTCCCCCAGAGAGCCTTAATAGTTTGAGAACACACAGGTATTTTTTTATTATGGCAAGGAAAATACATGTCTTCATACAAGTTAAATGCTGAGACATTAAAGCATCCCGCTGTTGTCAAGAACAAGGTAAGTATGCCACTTGAATAACTGTTACTCAACACTGATCTCAAATGCAACCAGATTCAAGAAAGAAACATTGGAAAAGAGAAGTCAAAAGGAAATATTAAAAACAAGCAGGAATCACAATTTGTGGTTGATTGTAACATTTATACATGAAAACCAACTACTTTCTTATATATTGGGATAAAATAGAAAATAAAGTGGAATAAATCATTCCATTGGAAATGATAGCCAAATGATAAAACTTCTGGAAATAAGCAATTATAAATTCATAACATCTTAATGAAGAAAATCATAAAACACTACTAAGTTACATAAAATTAGACTTAAACACAAGATTTCACGCTTTTGAATACGAACACTCAATCTGTAAATCCACTGTGACTCTAATTTTTTAAAAAAAGATTCACATGAGACAGAGATTCAGAGCTGAAGCGAATGTTGACTTGAAAGTATTGATATTAGTATGAATAAAGCTTTAGAAATTAAAGGCGTTCCTAAAGAGATAAATAAACAGAGCAGAAATAGAACCAAATACTTAAAGAACTTTGGTTTACAAATAAGGCTCCATTTTGAAGAAGCGGGGAAAACACTATGACTGTATTTCCGAAATGAATTATTACATAGTAATTGATATAACTGGCCACCATATGAAGGAAAAAGTATGGATCTTTCCCTCATTTCCTGCAACAAATGAATTCCAGGGAGTCAGAAGATGTGAAATAAGCAAATAAAACCATAAAGTTTCAGAAAGAAATATGAGTAAGTTTATTTATAATCTCAGGATGAGGAAGGCTTTTAAAAACTGGAAATGAATCCCACAACTGACAAAGAAAAATATTGATAAATTGACAACATAAAAATTTAAACTCTATGCCAATAAATAAGGAAATCAATAAATAACATCAAAAGACAAATGATAAACAAAAATATTTTAAAGACATAAGACAAAAATGTCCCAAAGTGCACGAGCAAATTAATTAAGAAAAAGCCAAATAACCCAATTAGGAATTGGGTAAAAGATGTAAGCTTATAAAAATTAAAATTACAAAAAAATTTGAAAAAATGTTCCATTTTTACATGTGATAAAATAAACTACAATCAGAATAATATTCCTAAATATCATGTTTCACCAGTTACATTGGGGAAAACATTAAGGTTGAAAATACCCCATGCTATTATAGAAAGCTGAGGAATTGGGCCTTTAATTGTACTCTTCATGGAGTTACATCTATTGATCAGTTTCTAGAAGATAATCTGGCAATATCTATCAAAATTTTAAATACACATAACCTTAAAACTCAGCAATTCCATTTCTAAGTTGGAATTTACACCAAGCTTTAGTCACAAAAGTATGTTAAGATGTATGTACAAGCATGCCAATTATAGATTTGTATATAAAAATAAAAACCGGAAATATCCGTATGTTCACCAGTAAAAGGCTATTCAAATAAATGACAGTCCGCTGAGACAATGGAATGCTAAGCAGCTATTAGGAAGAATGAGGTAGATCTTTATATGTTATTACGGGACGACCTCTAATACGAAACACCACGTGAAGAATGCGAGGTGCAGAGCACTTCACAGAGCGTTAGTGCTGGGAAGGGATGTCTCTCTCCATGCCCCCGTCCCTCTTGCTTTGGCCTCTTACCTTCTTTTCTTCTTTTCTAGAAATGCCCCTAGAAGCTCATTAATGGTCCTCTCTGCGAGAGAAAAGGAGCAGTATGGGAGGCTGTTGTTTTTAACCACTTATACTTTTCTAACCATGTGCACATCTATTCCCTATTATTACTTTATTAAATGACAGAGTAGTTATTTCAGGGGTCAAAATATGCACAACTTTGGTTTGCATTTTATGTGTTCCTGCACAAACCCCAAAAGGTTTCTTTTTTAAACAAAAATGTGGGAGGGATCAATTTTGGGATAATGATAAGAAATGAAGCATTCCCTTTACATATCAAAACACTCCTACTTGTTTTTAAAGCATTGTAATAGAAAAAATAAATAAAAATCTTGTGCACAGTTCATCCATAGCATGTGGAAGGAGTGACTGCTGGAAGATCCTGCTCCAAACCGCCTGAGGCTGGAGTGCCCTGATTCATCAACTTTCTTGTAAGTGAAGTCTCTTCTCTTAAGTCACACACACAGGTACTTGTGCACTTACAGACACACACACACACACCCTGAACACACACAAGCTTCCACCTTCCTCTAGTGCAAATAAATTCATGTGCATTACCCAGAAATGAGTGAGCTGGATGGCTGGAAAAACACATATGATTTATTTAACTCTGAAAATAAAATCTTCCCTCATGATGTTCGCATCTCAAGGGTTAGAAGCAAATTAAAAATCTCTAGGGGCTCAGAAGCCTTCTACAATTTTGAGGTCTGAGCAGCTGTTGGATGATACAATGGAATAGGAGAGGTCTTTCTTGGCGAATTACCCTCTGACCTCACTAAAAAAATAAGAAAGAGAAGACACAAAGTGATACTGTCGCTAGATAATCTAAGGGAAGGGCTGTATCAGCAGTTAGGTTTAAAAATTAAAGTTTCTCTTGTTTTCAAGTTGCTCATCTCCAGGGAATCCACCCATGGACATTAAGCCAGTTTTCTGGGCTGTCCACGACAGGTGGACGGGCTTGGGGCAGGCAGATTCCCGAAGGCCAGAACCTAGAGTTGCTGGCTTATCAGTCACTGAGGGTCTGCCAGCTCCTCCCTATCCAGAGCACTGCGGCCTGGATACCTGTCTGCCACTGGCCAGGTATCCAGAAAACGGATGGACCACATCGCCCCCTCCTGGCAACTGCCATAGGAGGGACCAGAAGAGTTCCCAGCCCCCACTTCCTGGCCCTGACACACAGGGCCTAGGAATATGCAGTATGTTCACTTGATGCTGTGCATTTGTATGGATGTGCATGTTTCTAAGACTAATGCACTCCAGTGCATGTTAATCAGCTAACACATTATTTTTTTTAAAGCCCACATAAATGGCTTCACTTAGCTTTAGCTATTCTTTTGGGCTAATTCTAGTAGAACTCTATTTGTCCTGTGGGTTCTGCAAAATAGAACAGATTTGCTCAACACCTCAGTGTCTGAGAGCAGCGGCATTTGGGAGTTGTCTGGGATCCACCAGAGACACTCCATGGGGCCTGGTCCTTGTTCAGAATAAACAGAAACCCGTGTCCCTTTGATTTCCTTGACAAGGTGGGTTTGCAGAAGCCAGGGAGGCTGGTAAAAACATCCTTAGCAAGACCCACAGTCTCTCTCTCTGTCTCTCTAACACAGAAACCACATAAAACTGCTTCTCTCTACCAATTGTCTTTGATAGAAAAAATAAAATAAAAATAAAAGTTAAATTGCAGAAAAGCTATCAGATTTAGTTTTTAGTTTTTTTTAGTTTTAGTTTTTTGTTTTCCTTCCACCAGTCAATTATTGGAATGGATTTAGTGAGTCTGGTTTATTTTAGCTTCAATCTAGGTTTGTACACAGGCAAAAAGCAAATGTTGAATTTTCAGGTAGACCTTCATGGCAAGTGGCATGCAGACATGCAGAACCAACTGTCCCGGCGGTGAGGAGCCACTGGGAGCTCTCTGAAGGGCTTTCCAGGCAGCGGGCTCATGGGCAAAATGACCTCTCAGAGGCCCTGCTGACCGACAGCACGGACGGGCCAAGGGTATGGATCAGCCCATCTGAGAGTACTGAACAGAGTGCTGAAAGCCTATTACCTAAAGTAACAAGGAAACCAGAACAACACGACTGACAGCCCTACGGGAACATCGGAATTGCCACGTTAATGCTGTCCTGGATTAGCACCCCCAAATCTCCCCAAGCCAAAGGCTTTGCCCATCTGTGCGTTTCCCGCATGTACAGAGCCAGGCGCGGCTACGCGAAGTCTTTGGACACGGCCTCCACGAAGTTGGGAGCCGACATGAGGATGCCGATGGTGCAGATGATGGTGAAGACCGAGAAGGCCATGAGGCACAGGCGGTCCACCACGCAGGCCGCGAACTTCCACTCGCTGCAGACCGCCTCGCTCTCGTCCTGGCAGCGGAAGCGGTTGGCGATGTAGCGGACCTCCTCCAGGATCTTGGCCAGGTCCGGGTCCCCCTCGGGGGGCTGCCCGGCGTGCAGGAGGTGCTCGTCGTGCGTGGGGGAGCAGGCCATGCGGCCGCACACCACCCCGGAGTCGGGGGTCGGGGCGCAGTGCACGCCGTCCAGGCCGCGGAAGCCGATGTACAGCAGGTTCCCGTTGCTGGCGGGCGGCGGCGCCACCGCGCTCATCTCCACGCTGGCCAGGCTGCAGCGCCGCCGCGCGTGCTGGCAGGCCGGGCGCACCTTGTCCTCCCCGGGCCTCTTCATGCGCAGGAACCACGCGCACCAGTTCAGGAGGACGACTCTGGTCTGGGGAGACAACAGAACGTTAAGAGCGGCCCCCAGCTGGGCATCGGCTGTTGCTGACAGCAGCAAGATCCTACACGGCAAGGCCTGCTTCATGGGTCCTCGGGGGTAGCAGATGTCACAGCACCAAAAAAATAAAAAAATAAATAAAAAAGTAAAAAAGAAAGAAATTAAAAAGCAGACGATTTTAGCAGGCAAACAGCGCCTGCGCGTGACAAGCACTTAGTTCAATGTGAGGCGAGACTCAAACTGAGGCACCCTGAGAACAAGCTACATTTCTCTCCAGGGCAGGCAAGCTGCAATCTCAGGGAAGACAGCCTCGTGGAAGGAGAAGGCTATCTGAGCTGTGTAAAAAGGGAAAGTCAATTTCCCTCTCTTCCGTGCTTATCTGTAACCCGGGGACCTTCAGACCTAACTCTGGCTCCCACACCAAGTGTGAGGCGCTCTGGAAGGCCACTGCAAATTCACAAAGAGTCCTGGGAGGTCTGACGTTTTCAAATGCAACCCCAGAACATCCATGAGACACCAGGTGAACTTGAGGCTTGAAACAGTTTAGGCTTCCAACATCAGATGTTCCAACCAGAGATGTGGATCTCTTATGATGTGACCACTCTGCAAAGCTGTTTTTCAGCTACCCTGATAAAAAGCAAATACCAAGGAACTTCATGTGAAACAGAAACTAGGTTAGTGGTCTCCAATCCGATCCTGAGATTTGAGAGAGTGCTGGGCCCCATAGGGGCTACATTGTTAAGGCATAAATACTTATTAAAGTGTTTTGATTTATTTAAAAAGAGAGTCTTGGGTATTATTTCTTTTGGCAACGGGCTCTGTGAAAAATTTCCTGAGACACTAACGTGCTATGAACCAAGGAAGTTTTGGAACCTCTAACCTAGCTCACTAAGCTTCAATGAAGACTGAATAAGACAATGCCTGGGAGATAACTTTTTTTTTTTTTGAGATGGAGTTTTGCTCTTGTTGTCCAGGCTGCAGTGCAATGGCGAGATCTTGGCTTACCAAAACCTCCACCTCCCAGGTTCAAGCGACTCTCCTGCCTCAGCCTCCTGAGTAGTTGGGATTACAGGCGTGCACTACCATGCCCGGCTAATTTTTTGTATTTTTAGTAGAGACAGGGTTTCGCCATATTGGTCAGGCTGGTCTTGAACTCCTGACCTTGTGATCAGCCTGCCTTGACTCCCAAAGTGCTGGGATTACAGGCGTGAGCCACCACACCAGGCCCTGGGAGAGTACTTTGAGAAGTTGAAAGCAGAAGTTGACAAACTTTCTGTAAAGGGCCAGGCAGCTACTCATTTCTGCTCATGTATCACGCATTGAAGGCGTCAAATGGATGGCCATGTTTTCTAAAATAACTTATTTACAAAAACACTTGGTGGACTGGATTTGGCCACCTAGGCCAGTTTGCTAACCTCTAGTCTAAAGTGTGTCCTAGAGTGCATGAAAGAAGCTGGAGAAAAATAACCATAGAGTTTATCCGGGTTTTGCCTCTCATGGAAAGAAGGGAGACATCTACAGCCTCAATCTAGGTAAACAAGCATTCTTGCAAGCCTATCCAGGTAAGTGTGTAAAAAGTGGGCCCTTTCCCTGAAATTATCCAGATCCTGATTTCATTTACATTTTGTTTTATGATTGTGGGGAAATTCCATCAGTAACCCAGAAGGTATAGTTCCTATCTTTAGGAAATATACAGATAGTAAGTTGTGCAGTTCATATCTGCAGGGCTTTCATTCTTGGTAATCTTTTTATAACATCTTATCAAAAATAACTGCAACAAACAGGTTTGGGGACAAGAACAGGGAAGCATAAGACCAGTTTCGTTGCAGCTATAAATATAACCCTTTATTTCCCACTGTACTTTACAAGCAGGCGGCAATCTGCATGTCCTGGAAAGGTTGGGTCTGCTGACCTTGGAGAGCTTTTTATGATCAGTAAGGAGTGGGCACATATGACCACATGTGAAACTTTGGATGAGCTGGGTCCTCCATACAAGGCTCATGAGACAAGTCATCTCACTTGGGCCTTTCAGGGTCCTGTGAAATGAGTATATTCCTCCACTTTACAGACCAACAAACTGAGGTTCAAAGAGGCTAATAAACCGGCCCAAGGACACACCATGAGTAAGTAAGTGGTTATGTCACTTAACATGTTTAGCCTTTCCCAGCCTCATCTGTAAAAGGGTCTATGAGGTTCTCTTCAAGACTCATGCAACTTTAGCCCAACCCCTCTGGGAAAGCACCAGAAATCCTAAGCCAGGGGGGCTGCAGGGCCATGAGTGTGCCTGCACGCAGTGGCAGCTGTGCACACGGGGAGCGAGCAGCAGCAGGCACTTCTCTCTCCGTGGCAGGGTCTACACGTCCCATGGTGCACATCTCAAGCTCACAGGATCCACACTGCCAAGTCTATTTTGAATTCCATGGCCTGAATCATTAGCTTTCAAAGCCAAAGCACTTAAAAGATAAAATTATCCTTTTGGCCATGCTCTTGACCTCTTCTGTTAGGCTACAGTTTTGTTTCTGGCTGTGCAAATGTCACATAATGCCACTGCACCCGGCAGTATCTTCTTCATAGCAACAGATCATAATAAAAGTCCCTCTGAGGCTGTTTATGTTTCAAATACACATAGAATGAAAGAAAAATGCAGTGTGTTATGTAAAGTGGGAGAAATGTATAAGCTTCATCTTTCATTTGCAGCCAATTGGTTTTAATAAGCTTTTATGCTGAGAGGTGAATATGCTCTTAATTAAGATTTTTTCTAAAGCAGCGGAGTGCTCCAGATCATTAAAAATGGTTCTGTGTCTTGATGTCTTAATTCTCTTATCTTCTCATCAGTCAAAATACTTATAAGGAATGAGAAGAAGTGTTTAGGTTTTTGTATTTGCATAAACAAATACTGGAAGGAAAAAGAAGGAATTCATTAAAATGGTTATCAATATTGGTGGCAGATGCAGGGTAAGGGGAAGGAATGGGAGCAGGATTTCCTTATGTATAATTGTAACTTTAATTTTATTTTGACTTTAGAAACAGGTAAATGTGTTACCTACTTCAAACTGATGGACAGACAGAAAGACCAGCAAACAAAAAAGCTCCCCAGCTCTCAGGGCTCCCACCTCTGGCCTTGCATTTTCCTAAGTGTGTCGGGGTTATAAAGAAGTCAGACAAAAATACAGGTGAATGTGTGCAAATGTACCCCAGTGTTTAATGGGGGGGTCTTCACAAAACAAACCTCAGGGACCACAGTGATGTGGTCTGTGTGTGAGACGGCACCAGGTAGGCTAAGCACACACTACTGCTGGCACAATAAGCTAAAAGTGAGTCTTTTTTTTTTTTTTTAAGAGATGGGGGTTCGCTCTGTCACCCAGGCTGGAGGGCAATGCATTATGATAGCTCACTGCAGCCTGGAGCTCCTGGGCTCACATGATCCTCCCACCTCAGCCTCCCAGGTAGCCAGGACTACAGGCACACACCACCATGGCCAGCTCACAAGTAAGTCTTTACTAAATAGTG